ATATATGTGATAACAGAAAAGTAAAAATCAAACATATATGAGTCAATAGTAGAATGAAGAAAAATACCGAATATGAACATATGCATAAGAAATAAGTGGGTAGAGATGTGCGAATTACCACCTAACACTACCTGGCAGGATTTTAGTTTTTATACCTTTTCGTAGAATTTCACCGCATAGAGAAAAATGACTGAACAACGTGAAACTTTTTCCCGGAAATTGAATTTCAACTTGAAAGTAAGATGCACGTAATTCAAAATTCGAGTGAAATTTATTTTCGAACACATTATACACCGTTGGATAGAGGGCGTCGAGCTGATCACGAATATATGTGCCTCGATTTTTTCTGACACTTTTTTGCGGCTGAAAACTCAAAATACTGAAAGAGTGTGCAAAACACGAAAAAACGTAAGGATTCAAAAAAAAATAGCCGTAGTCTTGTGCGTTAGTGTTTCATTGCTGCTACCTTATCGACTAGGATAAAAAGGTACATCATTCGACTAGATTTCTGACGTTGATTCCGAATATGATATTTTTGTTGCGTGAAACTGGAGTTCTGATGGTGAAATTACGAATTAGGGTCAGAATCAGCTCGACGCCCTCTATCCAACGGTGTATAATGTGTTCGAAAATAAATTTCACTCGAACTTTGAATTACGTGCATCTTACTTTCAAGTTGAAATTCAATTTCCGGGTAAAAGTTTCACGTTGTTCGGTCATTTTTCTCGTATAAGCTATCACTTTTTGAACACTGAGCTACTCACGAGTTTCCTAATCTTATGCTTTTCCGTAACTAAAACTTAATTCGAAAACAAATTTATTTAGCATAAACAAAATCGAATTCATTAGTGAGAATCGGAGAAAAGGCTATTTATTACATTCTTCTGGGGGCGCAAAAATTGAAGAGACGGCTTGTCGAATTTTTGATCAGTTTGGACAACTGATCTGCTGCAATAAGATTTTCCGGGATACCTGGTAGACATGAATTAGCACAGAACCAGTGATATTAAATCTTTCCAGATAACTACATTCTTGACTTGACACATGCTTTGATGTTGATATGACATCATTTAACGCCATTTGTCTGTTGATTCTTGAGTGTAAAGTGATGAAAAACAAAAAGCTATGAATTAGTTTTGATACACTAATATAAGTCAATGCATCAAAAAAAGTTTTGTTTTAGAAAAACAGCGTGTGTACATAGTTCAGAACATGCTTAGGTTTCTGTCGAAAGGATCCGATCCCGTTAAATATGACTGCGAAAGATTTAACGAGTTTCTTGGGTTCAGTTTTAAAGAATTCAAGTGCTTTGATATTTTCTGAACACGTGCACAAGAGTTTAATCTAAATAGTTGCTTTGAACGTATTCGAATAGATGCGAATATTTAACGTGTTCTGATCTCTAAACAGTAATGCGAAAATTTATTTTAATGGGTAAGAATAGTTTTTAACTTGCTCAAACTCGTTAAGCAAAAACTAATTGGAATGCTTAAGTCGAATGCATTCATTACACTGATGATTTCTCAATCATTGCTTTCTTTTGCGTGGTCAGCTCCTATGTAACTACCGTGCTTTTCCTACAATATACACGATACGTTCACTTAGAAAGTTTTCTACCTTTCCTCTTCATACTATATAGGTATAACGAAATGATTATGATCCTGCACCTTCATATATTTTGTTATCAAATACATATACCAAAAAATAAACAATCAGAGAACAGAAAATAAATAAGTAAACATATTTATACAAAAAAAATTTGTATAAAAATGTAGTTTCGATGTTACATCTGACAAATAGAACATTTCTACATATCGAAAAGTATTATCTAATAAAAAAACTGAAACGAATCCATTTTTGACTATCTGAACCAGAACATACAAGATAAGAGAGGTACCCAAGTCCACTTTCTTATCGCATGTCGCGACTCGAGTCTCTTTAAAAATTCGCGACAGGATCCCGTAACGCGTTCGCTGTAGACTAGCAAAATAAGACACGATTTTTACAAGGAGGAGAAGGCGACTTTTTCTTTCTAAGCATCGCACAGTATCGGAGTGCATCCCTCAGCATCGGAGCGCATCCCTCAGCATCGGAGAGCATCACAGTGTTAATTCTGAGTAAAGGTTTAACTCTTTGAAGCGTACAGATGTTTGTTATTTTAATTTCGCATAATCATCTTCTTCATATATATTGATATTTATGTGTTGAGATCAACTAGAAGAGCATGAATAACTTGTCTGCAGTTTCCTTCATTTCTTTTCTACTTCTCACATGTAAATGAAGTTTTATTAGACTCATGTGCTCAGTGAAATAAAAAGAAATGAGGAACGAATGAAAAAAAGTAACTGAAAACATTTTCGTTTATTATTTCTGTTTATTGACTTGCTGTACTTTCAATAGTCTGTCTGATGACAATCTATACTTTTCGCTTGTTAGCAACCAACAACCACTTTGCTTATGATAGTATTTATATTTGTTACCAATCTAAACGCGAAAGAATGATTGTTTATTTGTTTCATTAATACTATCATATAGTTTTATACCATCAAACTGTTGTTTTGTTGATTGTAGTATCATATTATCATCATTATTTTCACTTTCATTTCCGCTGCCACTAAATATTTCTGAATCTTCATCGTCACTGCTACTACTATTACTATTATCACTACTACTACCACCACTGCTGTTATCATTTTTATCATCATTTTTTATTTTTGAATAATCAACTGTTTTTAGAGATTGTGATAAACGTTTATAAACATAATTGCTTAGTTCGTTTAAATTATATATATTATTTTGTTTCAATAATTTATTCATTTTTAGTCGATCGATAAATGTTTTAGCATTATAATAAGCTTTCTGAACAATTTCTTCTACATCTTTTGTTGTCAATTGATTTGAATTATCTTTATTGCCTTCATTTGTCATATAAGAATTAATTTTTAAATGCTTTTATTTACGGTGAATTGGGAATTTAATACAATAGTCATTTCTCTCATTGATTTCCTCTTGACGTTTGATATTATTCAATATCGAAATTTTTTCTGCTTTTTTCAAAAATTGATTTACGGAAAAATTGGTAATAGATGACTGTGTACCAGTTAGTGAACGTGCATGACGAAAGATAGATTCACAATTTTGCGAACTAAATAAATATGTATCAAGTGCGGTGGATAGTATTTGTTGATCTTGTACAAGTAATATAATCGTTGTTAATATATGTATATTTAATTCAATACTTATCCATGCTGGCTTCGAAATAAAATATATATCTTTACGACCTGTTTTTGATTTTCTTTTTTGTTCTTGCCATTAATATTTTATTATCTTTATCAAACGTAGACAAATCCAACCATGACCACCAAAATCTACAAACAAATGTAATAACCCATCCATAATATAAACGATTTTTTATTGTTGTTGATTTATGGACGTATGTTAAATAAGTTCAAAACATCAACCGAAGAAATTTTCAAACATGATGAAAAATTCTGTCTATCATGTGGAAATATGTCGGAACGGACAAGATTATGGTCCAGTTTTGAATAATTTTCGATCAAACTACTCAGATGTGTAATATCAACAGACTGTTTTCCCATAAATAATTGTACACGTTTAGATAACAAACGATTACGAATTTTTGTTCCCAAATGTATTCCATCTTGAAAGCAAAGAAACAATTATTTCGGTCCAAATAAAACCATGGTTCCATTTATGTGGTGGATCAATTTCAAACAGATCAGCATGATAAATATCAATCAGATTGATATTCGGTAAACGACTAAAAAACCCGTTTGTAAGTCGCACCGCTTTTAAATATTTACTATCACAATCAGTTGAGTAACCAATTATACGTATATCATTCAATTTACATTGTTCATAAATGTAGATCCATCGACGAAGTATATCGATGGCGACTAACTTAGTATCTGCTCCATAAGCAGCTAAAAGAAATGATCTCGATTTAAATGGTTGTGTAGACATTGTTGTTGTCGTTGAAGTTAACGATGGTAACAACGATTCCACCATATGAATGTTGATCAGTGATGATTTAGCGATTATCATAAACCATTCTTGTAATTGTTCAAAGTCATCGGTTTGGTAAGAAGAAGTTTGTGGTATTCCTTTGTGAAGAGAAGGTACAAAACCAACAAAAGAATTCGTACTTACATCGTACGATATTGACCACACTACTACAATCTTCAGATAAAAATACAAAATTCGAATTAATTGTATCAAGATGTCCTTTCAATCGATCAAATTGAAATTGACACTCATTCATTTTTAGATCAATATTTTTATTATGTTGCTCCAGAGTACTAACAGATGGTAAAGCACCAGGTAAATTAATACGTATAAATTCGTACGTGTTGCTACCAGCTAGTATATGCAGTGTTATTGCAAACCGGTGAACATATTCATTGTATTCGTAATTGTTTTTAGATCGACCTAGATTATTTATAATATTTTCAAGAAATGCAAAAAGAAATGGTTGGTGTTCATTTTGTTCACGACTATTATTCACAAAATCATTTAAATTCTTCAATAAAGTAGCTGGTTGTTCATTTGCTTGTAAACATGTCGTTGTTGTCTTGAATAAATTAGTATCATTATTATTTAGTTTATCGAAATTTTGTTGAAATCTTCGCAATAATTCAGTCACATACTCAATATTGTATTTAATGCCTGGTCGAACAACATATTCATTTGTGTTTGGATAAATAAAACAAGCGCGTCTCTTGAGATCAACTAAATCTTCACAATTAACATCAAACAGTGAAAACGGATGTTTTATACGTAATAGTAATCGAACATTTTTAATCGCTTATTTTTCTAGGATTTCACATTCAACTGTATCTCCGTACTTTTTTTATAAAATCAAAAAATTGATCATTCGAATATGATAGAATATCTGGTGGTAGTTGTGATATATCGTGAATTTCATCTGTGGTAATCATGCTCAAAAATTTTGCGAATGTTGTTGCATAGATAAGAATACAAATCAACGAAGTGTTACTTAATTTTAAATTGAAAAACCATGAATAAGAACGGGCTCTTTTTCAGGAGAACCAACAGATGTTCCATTATTTTATTTAGAACTATTTTCTCTACGAGTTATCTTACTAAGTCATTAGTGTTCACTCTCTCAGAAATAGAAGCATGTCAAAAAAAGAAACTCTCGACTATATTTTACTTTATGACTGGAATATAAAATGTATAATATTTTTAAACACAAAAATTTCTTAAATAAAATAATTACACAATAATAAAAATATAAATCTTTGAGTACGGATCAAAACAAAAATATTTTTAAATATACTTAATGAAATGAATTGAATACATATTACTAAGTTCGAAAACAGAAGCGAAGAACGAAATCACTATCTAAACTTTGTTATTGTCTATTTTTCCGATCTTTTCGATGCTGGTTCATTTGCTGCACCAGATAGTATTGTTAATGGTAGTGCGGGTTTATGAATTCGCTTTAAATTTATACGGGTACTTTTACAAATAATTGATGATGGTTGACAACAAAGGTTGACTATTACGATGATGAGTTTGTGAATTATCAACATCTTCAACAACAGTTGCGATATCGCTTTGATCATCATCTTTTGTTTGAACATTTGTTGTTCGTTGTTCATTAGTATTTTGTTTTTGTTTGATCACTGAACAATTTGTCTGTTTGATATGTCGGTAAAAAGATGAAATTTGAAATGTTTTTGTTTTTCGTTGAAATGGTAATGTCATTTCGATACCACAATTGCATTTCAAGTGCACATTTGATTCTTTGACAAATAGTGTATAATCATTACTTTCATGTAATAAAATACCTGGTGTATGTGATTTACACCACTTTTCAATAAATTCATTAATTGATTGCTTACAATCATTGATACTTAGAAGTGCTTTTGTGGGTGTAGAGGGAGAATTATCGGTCGATAACAATGCTAATGAAGATCCAGCAGAAGAATTAGCAGTCAATGGTTGTGAGGGAGGTGTTTGATTGATATTTGCTGATTTATCATTATTTGCCTCTCGTTGGGATTTTTTACGTTGTTGTTCAATTTTTTTCAAATATTCTCTATCTTTTGCTCTTAACGTCTCAACAAAATCTTCAACACCTGCTACTATACCCGGTTTCACCATATATGTATTGTCTTTCAATCTAAAACATACACGGGTTTGTATATCGTTCAAAGCTTCACATTCAACTTTTAACACGTCCAAAATATCGGGTAAGCGAATTGATATCCTTGTATTTTTGATATCTTGTATTTTGGTCAATTCCATTTCATCTGTACCTAGACATTGTTCAACAAATTCATAAAATGTATCATTTGCATAGAATAATACTTCATCCGATGATAAAACTTGTTGTAGTAGCTGCGACTGTTGTTGCCATCATGAAATAATTCGGACTTGGTTGATGTGGGGATATTCGCGTAAAAAAAAGTTATTATCGAATGATGTGTGTGTTAAGATATCTACTTCGTCTAGTTTAAAATGTGCTCCTCTTTTGCACTTATTTCCTCGAGTCGAAAAAAGACGGCTATTCTTAGGAGAACAGAAAAGACTAAAACATATATTTGTTATGTTTGGCAAGAAATTTGGCTTTCATTTTTGTTTGCTGATAGTCATATTCATAAAAACAAATTTCAATGTTCTCTAGTCCCTGTGCAGACAATCAGTAGACTATTAGAAATTTTTGCGCATGGTATCGTAGAGCTCCTTACAGCATCTCCTAGTATCGGAAAGCTCCGCATAGCATCGTATATTATCCCAAGCTTGGGAAAGCATTTTAAGGGCTCTGGAAAGGTCCCGGAGCCGCCTTTTCCCCCTTGGATTTTTAGCGATCGTGATTTTTTTCACGCTCATACAAAAATCGATGAATCTCAAGTATTTTACTATAGCTACTGTTTATTCACGTTTTCCGATGAATTTCAGTAAATCAGTCGCGCTACTATTTTGATCTAAAAATTTTAGGAAATATAACATATTCTATGTAGACTATTCTTAGAAAGTAGACTATTCTTTCAACGAATTTCAGTCACTCATAAGATACACTGGAAGGAAATATATAGTAATGAATAAGGAGATATGCCAATCGACTAATATATCTCAGTGGCAACAAAAATCATGATTTAATTTGTTAAATCAAAGTTCATATCTGCTTAGTTTCGGGTGCTGTTAATTTCTTATTTTAGGTTGCCACAGCGGCGTGACATCTTCATTTATTTTATTTTGTCTTTCACTTTGACATTTTGAGTTTTAGTTTAAACGTTTGATCTAACATACACATCTCTCTCTCAGTCCTTGAGGACTCCCTGAGGGTCTATTGATCCATCTTCTTAATTTCATGTAACTAATTAGTAATTAAGTGCCAGATACTATCACTGATACCGCTGGAGCACATATCACCCATCGAAGGTTGGCACATTAATGTTGACTTACTAGAAGAAAATTTTTAAAATTTTATCATAGAACTACATTATATTTATATATTGCCTATCTGCAAAACAAACGGTGAATGNTATGATCTTGTACGATCGTATTATACGATCCAGAGGACAAATCAGATACCACGATTCATATATGATTTTCATACGATTTGGTACGATTTTGTCTGATTCAGATGCGATCCTAGTACTATTCTTCGATCTGGGTTGAAACATTTTTAGAACCAAACGTCTATTCACAAAAAGTTTTGCTAAGTCCACGGCTCATTTCTGCATATCGAAAAATATTATCTAATAAAAAAACTGAAACGGATCCTTTTGACTATTTGAACCAGAACATACAAGATAAGAGAGATACCCAAGTCCACTTATCACATGTCGCGACGTTGTAAGTTCTTATCGCATGTCGCGACGCGAGTCTCTTTAAAAAGATCGCGTAACGCGTTCGCTGTGGACCAGCGAAATAAAACGCGATTTTTAGCGTTCGCAATTTTTTCGCGCTCATACAAAAATCGATGAATCTCAAGTATTTTACTATAGCTACTGTTTATTCACATTTTCCGATGAATATCAGTGAATGAGCCGCGTTACTTTCACCGCGAACGCAGACGAACGGCGTACGCGCGACTAGGCGAGACTATATTAGTCATGTCGGAAGATGTGATACGATTTTGAAAATTTTTCGAAAAATCAGTGAGAGTTATATACCAGACACAAAAACAGAATAAAACGGCGAATAGGATCTGCACGGTAATAGTCTTTCCCCAAGACTATTGTGTAATACTCACCCTAGTCGAGGCTCCCAGTAAAACTCCAACGGGCGTCCCAAGTTTGTGAAAAAGTCCAGTAGGAATCGTAAGGAGTCCTGATGACTCTCGCAGGAACTTTCTAAAGTGAAAAGTCCAACATGGAGTCATGAGGAGTCCCAAAAAAATTCTTGCAGGAGTCCTGTCGAGAGTCCTGTTGGGGAAAGTCATGCATGGACTCCTACAGAAATCCTCAGAGAGCAGAATGTTTTTCTTATGATTCCCATAAGAGAAAGTCTG